TCTCTGGTGGACTATTTAATAGTGAAACTGTTTCTAAATTACCTCAAATATGGTTTGAACTTACTGGACCAAAATTTTGTATTTCTCTTTAGCCAACAATATATTCTAATACCAAGATATTAGCACTGAGCTACAATCAATCTTAGTTATTCAGCCTGACTGATCAGCCTGCCGGTATGTTGGCCAGATTATATGTGCAGTGCGGGTCTAAGCCATTTTGTTAGGAGGTGAAACTGAAAGACAGAAATGTTGCTAAGAATTCACAGTAAAACTGTGTACACAGTCTGCATACATAACAACAGAAAGTACAGGAGAACAAAGTTGAACTGCGTACTTGTTCTAAAAGTTCCAATGATTCTACAATTCACTCATTTCTGTTCTTAATTAAGCTGATCAGACACAGACATGAACATTAAAATGTCAGACACAATTTTCCAAGTTTATCTTTCTCATATGAAGAAAGCAGCAGGAGATTGTCCGGGTAAAATGCGTTCACAGCAACAGTAAAATATCTGTAACATTCAGGAGAGAGGTGGTGTCTGAGTAGATAAGGCAGGAGGCAATATTATTCTTTGGAAATCACGTGGTTTTGTTTACAGCACATCAGCACACTTATCGTCAAATGGTCTTGAATCTCGTTGGCTTTCCATGTTGACATCTTCTTGCTTGTATGGCATCTTTTTCAAATTTGTATTCAGTTTTGCGTGTGACACGTTAGAAATTTCATCAACACAACCACTTTTCCGCTGTGAATTTTCTGGACATTTTCCTGCTGTATCCTCACATGGGCTCACTCTGACATTTTTCTTTGGGGTTGGCAGGAAAAGTTCAGGAAAATGTCAGGTGCAACTGACATTTGCGTTCTCAAATTCAGGCCCTCCAGAAAATTGTAGAAACATTTCTTAAGTGAAGGTTTTAAAGCCCATATGTTTAAAGACTAAACTAAAGTTTACATGCATGCACTGCAACTCAAAACTTACCTAGACATCATCAGGAGGAGGCAAATGTCTGAATTAGTTGGGTTGGACATTAACCACACAGCAGCTCTCTCGAACACCGTGTAATGTCCGACTGAGCCCATGTGTGACACGGTCATTGTGCAGAGAATTCACAGTGAGAGAGTAGGCGTGGTGATGATGTTTCTATCACGAAACCAAAAGATTACAGATATTACAATTCAAAATATTACTATTTGTGCCTTGATTTGCATTCTGCTCGCTCTACTCAGACGCCACCCATCATCTAGACCAAACTAAGCATATGCATTATGCTTTCTGTTGTGTGCTACATGTGTGAAAGGGCAACTGCAGACAATGTCAAGACCTGACTCTCCCGACTCTGCCCAGATTTCACTCATAAAAATGGCTGAAGATTTTCCAGTGCACCTTTCTACAGGCTTGGTATCCAGCTCAGATTCTACACTCAAATGATTCCACTATTAACCTGTTCTTCCCACTTTGGAAGCCTTGCTTTAGCTTTACCAAGACCACCACACTAGCCTGATGGAAAGATGCCACTTGCCTGGGGTTGAGGGGTGTGTGTGTGTGTGTGTGTGTGTGTGTGTGTGTGTGTGTGTGTGTGTGTGTGTGTGTGTGTGTGTGTGTGNGTGTGTGTGTGTGTGTGTGTGTGTGTGTGTGTGTGTGTGTGTGTGTGTGTGTGTGTGAGTCTCTATGTATGTAATGGAGGAGCTGGTGCTCTCCACTGACTGCCAAAAGCAGGACAGATACATAGGGGGGAGGAGGTGAGGAGAGAGCAAAAGCAAGGAGAGTGAGAGATGAGGGGGAGGGGGGAGTCACTACAACTGATTCATTACACATACACACCAGCAGAAGCATGGTGACTACCCTCCCCCACAACTCACACATCCATAGCACGAGGAAACAGCATAAACTGGAGGGGCTTGTATATACTGGGTCGAATGACCTCAGATATCCAGAAGGCTATCTGCCCTACATTTCAGTTTTCAACAGCAACAACCAAAAAAACTGTTGTTTATTTGCTCTTCGGGGGGGGGCTAACTCTCCCACACTATGAAAACCCCTGATCTAGACCCAACATCATCTAAGACAACATCAAATCATCAAGACTCAACCTTAAGCACTGTTAAGTAATGGCTGATAAAATCTTCACAGCTGATGGGGGGAGTTAACCTAACCTTGTAGTTAAACAACAATAAATGATTTATTAAACATTGTCAAGCTTAACGGTTTTCAAGCTGCAAACAAGGACGAACCTGCAGCAGCTCGACTTGAAATAGAAAGCGAGGCCCACATTTTTTTCCAACGAGCATGTTTAAAAATGTAGCGCCAACTAAGCATGTGAAGCTGGAGGTAGGTATGTTCCTCCAGCACTGGTGCGCCACTCGGTGTATGTTGAGGATGGGAGAACATTACAAATGTGTCACACTATAGTCAAGCCACCAGCCTCTTTCCTGACCAAACCAAATATTGAAAGCCGTTTTCATCCACAACACAGCGAGAGGTTCTCTGCACAGACACATTCACAACAGCAACAAATCCTCTGCATTATTTAGGCAAGAGGTGGCGCAGCCGGGTGCAGCAGACACAGGCAGGAAGTGACGTATTAACTCCGCTGCGGGGATCACGTGATTTTGTTTACAGCACCCTGACACCGTCGTCAGCTCTTATCAACACAAACTCCCTTCATATCTTCATCGATGTCCTATATGTGTGTGACACGTCTTTTTCACAGAGAGATATTTGTTTTCTTTTTGTCTTTCATTTTTGCATCTGTCGCGTGTTAGAAGTATCATCAACCCCTCCAATAATTTGCTGTAAATCCAGAGGATCCCCTGCTGTGTCATCACATCAGATTCTGCTGGATTTCTACTGACATTATACTAGGAGGGCGGAGAAAGTCTGTAGAAACTGCGGAGCGTCTCACTTGGGAAATCTGTGCTGCACCTCCTTCAGAGAAAATACAGAGGAACTTCGTAGTCCAGTGCATGTCTGAAAGCAGCTTTAGTAACACTACCTTCCCCTAAAGGTGCTGAATTTCCTAAATTTATATGTAAATATTAAGGCTGCAAATATTTTTTTGTATTCAGTCTGTAAAATGTCAGGTAAATTTTGCAAAAAGTGTCCATTAGAATGTCTGAGCTGGTATCTTTAAATGTCTTTTTTTGACAAACAGTCCAAATTACAAGAAAATGAACAATGATGTAGCACAGAAACAGAAGTCATTTTAGTTGAGAAAACTGAAAATGGCTATTTTCTGTCATTTTTGCTTGAAAATGACTTGAACAATTAGTCGATTTTTGGAAACTTTAGCCAGTTTTTTTTAGCAAAAGCAACAGACTTTATTCACTGTGCTCTGAAAAACTATGCTGGCCAAAGATTAACTGAAGAAAATAATTATGCAAATGTAGATAACTGTAAAACGCAGTTTGCAAGTGATTGTATAAAATAGAAATGTCTGTGGAAAACAGTCTTGTAACTTTAGACCTGAGGACAATATGGGTGGATGTACATTGGGTTATGTGGGGTGACACGCCTATACATAAAACTATTTATATGCCCATTTCCATACACCTCGTGCTGAATACATTAGACACTGAACTTGGCATTGAGCCATTTTCAGGTCAGGGAATGAAGCAGACAAACTAGTTTGTACGTGTACTTGTTTTAAATGTTCATAGCTGTTCTCAAGAGCCAACACTCGAAAACAAGCCTGCCATGATAAGAGAGTTGGTGGACGTGATAGTAGTTCAAATGGGGATAATCGATCAGGTGATGGCAGGTAGCTGTAAAGATTTGTTTTGTCTGATAAAATCCAGGAGAAGGCACAAGACACAAGGCCGGAGACACTGAGTGTAGACAGCACAAAAAAGGGCTGTGGTTGAATTTTGTGGTACAAAGATGTTGCACATAAACTGCCTGTGTATAGCTGTCCTGTAACTGGTGTGTACTGCATATATGCTGGGTTAGCTAAGGTAGAAAGGCTATATATAAACCTGTTTCTACACATGTTCCTTGCAGGCACATTTCCACACATGAGATTGCCAGAGGAAGGTATTCACTCCACTGGAAGGTGGATGATGACAGCCTGAATGGGTTACTGTGCATTATCTGACTAGCTACCACTCTACTACTCGTGTTATTCTGGTGCACTGAGGCATTTCTTGCTGCTGCTGCCACCGAATATGACATTTACACTATGATATTAATTTTCTGACTCCATCTACCAGCACAGGGCAGCGTTTCTGGCCATCACCCATTTTACGGCACTTTTGGATGCAGCAATATGCTGGTGCTGTATCTACTGAAGAAGCAGTCTTCTTTTAAGAAGTCTCCTAATGGCAACTTTTCATCCTCAGACATGCATAAGAATATAGTTTCACCAGCACAGCCTTTGATTACAGAGCTGCCTTCACAGCACACTTTCTTAGGAACACCATACAGATACTATATTTGCTCTCTTAACAGACATAATTCTAGGTTTCATGGATTCCATAACATGTTTGGAAACTTTCGTAAAAGATTCTGTTCCATCTTGAAATAATTGAATCGCATAAATGATCAGATCAGACTATGTTTTTCCAGTTTTTCTGTTATTGTCTCCATTCTGAGGAAAACTCAGACTGTTGGGTGTGAAATCTCAAGAGATCAGTGGTTTCAGAAAAAACAGATGGCACCAATAATAATGGCAATGTACACTGTGTCCGTGCAGCAGTGTCCACTGAGGTGACTTGAGCTGCCGAGAGCTGCCACTTGAAATGTTTTCTGCAGTCACCTTGACTAACCCAGTCTGCCTGACACCAGACTGATGTTTGGTGCTGTCAGTCACACTAGAGAAGACAACAGCGAGTCTAAACGTGACCTTATATCAACAAACTCACACGTAGACATGCAGCCATGGCTCTTAAAGCAAAATCCTTTTTTTCTGTAGCATTATGAATAAGGTGAGGAGAGGTGGCAAACCATACCTTTTTTTGTAAAAACCAAGGCTTCCAACATCACATTGTTTCGTACAAAACTGGTGTGCATATTTCACTGTGCAGTCTGTGACACGACCAGTTATAGACTGTCCTTCAAATACTTAAAGTGGGTTATGCATACAGTGCATACAGTATGTACAGGATGTTGACTCAAGACGGGTCAGGGTTTTTGATTTCCTAAGGATATGTACCTCTTAAAGCTGATGGTCATGAGCCTATAGCTACAGCTGATGTGCATTTCCTCTAAAAGAAATGTTTGAGATTGGAACAGTTTGAGTATTTTTATGTCCAAACAAAGCCTTTATCCCCTGATTATCAGCTCTGCAGGTGAACCAGGGATATTTTGTGTTTTCATAACCCCAAAGTTAAACACAACAGAGAACTGTGAGGATATATTCAATATGAGTTTGAATAGAGTAAAGATCAAGTTGAAATATTTTTGTCAGTGCATCCTTTTCATTTTATTGTTTTTTAAATTAATTTTTGAGTTTGGAGAATTAAATTGAGAAATTTCTAAAAAAAAGTAGCGTGAAAGACTTACTACTTAACCACTGGTTGAAGTGAAAGCAAAGTACCCTCATATATGATAAGATGTGTTGCAAATAATTACTCATTTATTAATTCTATGTTGTTTGATCAACTAAAACTAAAGTTTAACATGCTAGTTGAGATGTGCCCATTTATAAAGTCGTAGATTCAGAAAAAAAACATATCGTCAACTAGAACATGTCATTTTTTTTAAATGTTGTTTCTCCCTACAGGCTGAATTACTGAAGAGGCCCAGAGTTAGCATCCAAACCACTCAGCCAATGATTTATGTGAAATTGACCTTAATGACAAAAAAGGATTTAACATATATGCAGCTTGATACACATTTCTCATGTGTGAAATTTTGAACCAATTGAATCAAATTTAAAGCATTCAACAACTCAAGGGTTTGACCATGATCGCATCTGAGAGGGTGTCCATTCCAAAAAGTGGTCAAATTATACAGAGAATAAAGGACACAAAAATGTGCTTTTACTATTAAAAATTCATAATTCTCAGATGAAACTCAAACATCAATCTGGGAACATTGGATTAACCTGCTGCGTGAGGGGGCACACCTAACGTGGGGTATGATGGGAGGCTTGTTGATGAGCTGAGAAAAAAGTGTGTAGTTTTTTGGCCATGAGGAGGTGAACAGCTTTTACCTGCTACTTGTATTTTTCTTGCTTTTGCTTTTTCTTTTCAGGCTGTCCCTCTCTCGACTGCTGATGAAGGGTGGCATGGAGGCATAGCCATGTTCCGCTTCTGCAAGAAATAAACAACATAGTGGTCACATGTCCTGATATCTGGTAATGCACAATATAGTGTTACAGCAGAACAGTGAAAAGTAGCCAAACCAGGAATAGAAAGACGATAAAATGAGCAACATTTGATAGTGATCCTTTAGGCATTTAATGGCAGTGTGGAGCTGACATGCAATGAATGGTTTTCATGCAGTATATTTATCCTGTATTTTCTCCCCTCAGCCTGCACAATGATGTCATCTTGAACTGGAATAAACCCTACTAGTGGACCACAACAGAAGGAAAGGAGGGGCTTCCATAAAAACAATGTCTCCCTGCATATTTCACTGCATTTTCCACATATGCATTCATTTTTTCACTATTAGAAATGAAAATGTGTGAAAAGTGTGTGTGTTTGCACATATGCATATAATATGAATATTGATTAGCACCTATTTTGGGTAGACGATGGATTCTGATGTATCGTGCGAAATCCTGTAACATTAATGTTTTAAATGTGCAGCCTGATTATTAAAATGAAAAATAAAGGGTTTTTAAGCAGGCTTCACGATGACAGGTGCATAAATAGAGTGTGATATTAAGGAGATGGGGGGTCGCTGCAGGGTTTTTTTTTTTTCACATACGAAACAGATCGTGGTAAACAACACAAAATACTTTACCTCGTTCCCTGCGTTCGAGGTACTCGGCTGCTTCGATCAACATCTGCACCATTCCGATAGCCGCCATTTTCAACAATAACACCGATAATAATGTAACAGTCCGATGAGGGGTTCCGTGGCTGCACACAACCTGCTCCCCCGCTAGCTCTGACGCTCAGGTGGCCGCTCGCTGCTCCTCCACTGATCGCTTCCCAAAGGCGAGAGGTGACGGTGAGAGTCCGCTCCTGCAGCGGGTCAGACGAGCTGATTCAAAGTGTAACGCACCGGTGAGGTTGGAGGGACAAACAGGTTTTCGTCCTCAAACCGGTGAATGGGATGGTGTTAGCTGGTGCTAGTTCAGGCTGGTGCTAACACTTGTACAGTTGTGACAGCTTCAGAAAAACAGAGTTAGCTTAATATTGTTTAGCTAGTTCTTCAAAAAACGCGGCTAGGTGAAAAACAACCAAACGATGGTTGTTTAATAGTTTAAAAAAAATAAAAACAAGCCGAGAACCATAGAGTATGTGTTCTGTTTTAGGGATAAACTAAGTTGGCTAATGTTTGCGCTCGTGACTGTTTATCAGAGTAAGGGTGAAGACGCCTTCCTGTCTCGGTTCGAAAGTGAAGAAGCTCGAGGGTCGCTGTCTTGTTGACTTGCCTGAGGTGAGCTGTCAGAGAAAAACAAGCTGGCTGTCATTAAAGTTCCACCGACGCTGTCATCCACCCTGCTCGGCTCCTGGCTGCGTGTCTAGGCTGCTTTTGAGTTTATATGCTGGTTTACCGCAGTTCACGCGCGACACGTCTCGCTGGAAACGCAGAGAGCGACTGACATCAGCGACAGAAACAGCGGCTGTTCATCAAAGTGCGTCCAAAACACAGGCTTGTTGATCTGGAGAGCTACCGTCCTCCACCACAAAGCTCCTGTGTGCCGCGCTGCCATTGGATGCTGGGTTTGACAACCTGAGCTACTATTGGTTGCGCTAGACGTCAGTCATCGGGAGGGGGTACGCGCCGACTGCTACTGTGGCTTCTTCTCAGCCATTTTGGTTCCAATTCACATCCGGGAACACCGCTACAGCGGAGCCGCAATGGCGACAGTTTCTGAGTTACACACTGCCGCGTCGTGATTGGCTGCTTTCTAATAATCTTGCTACTCATTGGCCGCAGCGCCCACGAGCTGGAGAAACAACGCCCGCTGCCGACACAGCGCACACCCCTCTGCCATGCTGCTTCACGGTGGATGGCGACGATTGGCTCCCGTAGTGTTGTTTGTCTTATCGCTTCATCGCGGATTGGTCAGATTCACATGTTCATTTTTTATTGGTCGTGTTTTTTCCTTTTGCACAGCGTCTCCCCGCGCATGCTCACTGCCCACAGGTTCCAGAAACATGACGGCAGCGGAAAGCTGCAGGGAACAAATATTTTGAATTGACACGAATGTCCCGTTTAACCCTGGACATCAACGAACATGGGGCAGAAATAAAATCATTTAGGTTGTACTACAGTACAAAGCGGATCAGAAACCGGCTAATAACCGGCACAATTACACAAAACAACAAAGATGATTAACTCATTCAACACAACTCACACACCCAACTGACACTTGAGTATGGAATTACACACACATTTAATAGTCAGACCTGCAACACCTTAAAACGCTTTTATTTCAAATAGAACAAACACTTCAACAAAATAAAGCTCCGTACATTGTGTCTTCTTGCTACTCAGCTCAGCACTATTATTTACATATGTGTTTACTGGTGAAAAGGCTTGTAGAGAATTGTTGCGCCACGCAAAGTGAGAAATAATAGGTTACAGCACAAATCTCAGCCACTGTGAGGGGAGGACAGAGGTACGCTTCGTCTTGGTTGTTGCACTGAGCTGCTGATGCTTTCAGGCGATGAAGTCCAGTGGTCTGTTGAATCCACCTTTTCTGTTCATATACTGCCTAAAAAAAATATGCAAAGAAAACATTACATCACTGTTGCCCTCGCAACACTTGCAGATTACATCATCGAGCACCAATGGGAGAGCCGGAATCTCTGCATGGGAACACCTGCTGAGGTGATTGGCTACAGTAATGGTGGATGATGCGGAGAGTGCTCGCTGTGAGGGGCTGAAAAGTTGTATTGTAGTTTTAATCAGCAACCTGACGACAACCAGGCTGCACACAATAACTTAAAAATATCACAATATAATAAAACAAAGGCTTATGAAATCTGTCCAAATCTGTGTATGGGCAGTAAAATAAAACAGCTACAAACAGATCTGTACAGTTAAAACTGTTTGTTGTTGTTTACGTACCTGTATTTTCTCTTCATGGACACATTGATAGCATATGCATTCACTGATCCATCTGTTTTCTTCCCCTGTTTAAAAATAACAGTGCTGCGTCTCACATTTAAAACAAAATGCACATTACAGCTATAAAATGACATTTATAAGATGTTGTCTCTGCTCGACTTCTATGCACCCTTTATTTATAAAACTCATTTGTTAGGAAGGTTTAAAAGCTGTTAGAGCCTTTCAAAATTTAAAACATACAAAAGGGAACACAACACTACAAAGTACAGCTGAACTGGATAAACAAAATACAATGCAACGAATGTTAATCTGTAGCTGCAGTTCATTTTTACAATTTAAAATTGCTTTTCTTGTTAATTGATCATTCTTATATATTTCAATAGAATATTTACAGTCATCAAGCGCAGAAACCAAACACTTATCAGTTATCAAAAAGTCCTTCACCAAATGACATGACAAAATCAAGCAGAGGCTACCAGTTTATCAACTTTAGCTGATGTTCACGATGTGTTTGTGGAAACTCATATCATAGTGGATGAATTGTACATTAAACAGACTCACAGAAACATACATATTTGTATCTCTATTCAATTCAGCTGAAGAATGCAATGAACTTGATCTGAAATAAACACTGCACCTCCTTGTGGCTGCATAACACAGGACACCTCTGTATTCTCACCTTAGTTGTATCGAAGGAACCAAATCCCATCTGTTTCATCATCTCAATTTCCTCCTCTGTTTTCCCCTGCATGTCCTCCTCTGTTTAAAAAACACAAAGCATGGCATTTTTTGCTGAAACATAAATGTCGAAGTTGAAAACGTGCAGAAAGCCACATTTCAGGCCTAGTTTGTGTGAAAATGGTATGTCAGAAGAATATTGATTATACCTGAAATCTGAATGGACTTTGCTGCCTTTTCCTTGGCATCTTTATCTTTTTGTCTCGTCGGAGAGAGGGAGGAGGAGCGATTACGTCGACCCGGAGACCTGCAGAGGGAACGCACAGATGGCTGCAGGACGAGTTATCACAACTACTGAGGGCAGACGCCTCTGCAACTGAAGTGATTCATGTTGTTCATGGTTTGATTGAATCTATTCAGGTTGCAGATAAACGTACTTGTCTACAAATGGTAAAAAGAACCTTAAGTGTGTAATACGCAATTTGAAAGAGGGAATACCTTAATATTTGTAGGTGGAAAACACTCACTGGTAAATATGTGTTTTTTAATGACATTTGTAAACAACCAATTACAATTATTTAGGCCATAAACCTAAAAAGAAAAGTACACAAAAATAAAACCTGTTTGGAACCTGGAAAAACTCACCTTGAACGCCTCCTGTGAGGAGACCGCGAACGGCTTCTGCGCCTCTCTCTGTCCCGATCTCGGGAACGAGATCGCTCCCTCTCCCTTCGCCTTCGCTCGCGGTCCCGGGACGTTGAGCGGGAACGTCTTCTCTCTGCAGCAAAGTGAAGATAAGATCACTATTTAAATGATACCACAACTAATACTGTCGTGATTTTAGCTGTAATCAGGACATATTGCTATCCACAAACTGCAATGGTAATTTTAATGCATAAATGATTTTAAAGTATTTTCTTTGGAAGTTTTGAATTAATCATATAACTTAACAGCAAATTATACTGGCAGCATATGATTCCTATGTTAATGCTGTGTGAAGAGTTTTCTTTTAACAGCCAATTAATTCAAATGACTATCACAAGGCAATACGATTACAGCTAGATGGCTTAGTGAATCTGGAGAAAAGATAATTTTGTGAAACTACCAATACATTGTTAGGAAATAATTCTTATTGATGATACACATAGATAGGCCTCATACACGACTGGTATTAACATATGGTTTTTGTGATGCGAACACAAGTGGACAGCTCTGAGGGCATGCGTTCACACCTGGCATTAAAATGTGGCCACACATTCATAGGATCAGATCTCACCTCCCTGCTCTATACAATCAAATGGTTCTGTTCACGAAGACCAAGTTATGTTGTTTTTACCCAATCTGAGCAGTCTGATGTCACTCTGTGTGTGTGTGTGTGTCTTTGTGTCAGCACCAGCGAGAGAAAGAGGGGTAGAGAGACGAGTCAGGTGAGTCTGAATAAATCTAGTGCAGCCGTTCACATTGCTAAAAGAATGTGTACGTTAAGCTGTCCACTTGAGATCGGAATATAAAAGCCACATGTTAATGACAGGTGTGTCCGGGACCCATAGTGAGGTATAATCAAGATTTCTTTCTTCTTTCTTTCTTTACGTTTATCTTGAAACTTGGTCCAAAAAGCATTCAAGAATATTTTGTAATGAATATTTAAAAAAATATAAAATACTGATACATTGAACCCAAAATCGGTCGGATCTCCTCAAACCAAGGACTTAGAGTTTTGGATGCCAGAATAAACCTGAGGCACAATGATAATAATTGGTAGATTAGTCGTACAAATACAGATTTATACATCAATGTGTGATGTTATCCCATATGCTGGCCTTAAAAGAGTCTTTGAACAACATTGTCAGGGGTTAAAGAGCTATTCAAACTTAATCAACTTTAATCCATGAGTTCCTAAACTAAACAAATACTTTGAAATGGATAGCAAGCAGTATTGTTTACACGTGTTGGCTAACAACACTAATATGGAGACACACCGGCCTGTGTCTATTAATTTCCTTTATAAGACAGGGTGTACTATATTGACAAAGTAATTATATATATATATATATATGCGGTTTCCGCTGGTTCAGCAGCCAATTTCCCCATCATCCTCAGCTGTACTGTTTGAGCTGTATAAAGCCTATTAATCTATCACCTCCTGATGCCATTCACACTCACACACCTCAAACACAGAGTAGCTACCGTTAAACAAATCAAATCTATAATATCACGCCGCTTTTAAATTCATGTCGCCAGTGTGTGACGTCAGCTGTAGAGACTTGTGATTGTAACTAACGTCTTTGGATACTACACATTAGTCACGTTTGTTGTGTAAAGACTCTGTTACAGAAATGATTTAAGTAAATTAACACATTCTCACATTTAGCATTAGCTTTGTTCCTGTGGTACAAACGTACAGCTCGTCGTACGTCGGTGTAACGTTAGCCTGATTAGCTGCCTGATTAGCTACCTGTAGTTTCTTACCTCGTCTCGGTGGACTTCGGCTCCTGCTCCTGCCCATTTTACAAACAGCTCAAATGGGACTCTTTCTATAGAGGAAGCACCGCAGACAGCCCGTTTTGTTAGAAATATTTCCACTGCGTGTCGTCTGGATTTCCTCAATGCTAATGGCTACCACTCAGCGATGTAGTCTTTTGTGTTTGTTAGACGAGTTTCCGGTGAATTATCTACGTTACAGCGCCCCTAACGAACTGGAGGCGATACTTCAACTGTACAGCATCACCAGCCATGGGTCTTGTTTTTATATACAGTCTATGGTCTGGTGTGTTCAGTTTACATGCATTATTCTTTTATACGCGATTAGCACCTGCTCATGTTGTACACGCCATCATTTATTCTCTGCAAGTACTGTTCTTCAATAAATACATACTAGTACTATGCCCTGTGTGTAAACATTCATTTGTGGCACTGTGAGGCCTTTAAGGCAGCTTTAATTTAATTATTAAAGCACAAACAAAAGTGAAGGGAAAAAAAAGACAATCAAGCAAAGAAAGATGAGAATAAACTACACGTCCAGTTGGTTTCAAATCAAACTTCATCTTTAATGACTGATAAATGGTAACCTTGCAACACTCACCTATACATTCTAATATAAAATAAATTAAAACCATGGGCAAACATCACACATCAGCATTTTGATAACAGCTACTGGTTGAGACGAAAATAATTACTGTTTCGAAGTAATTTGCACACATACATTGAAAAGAAATCAAGGAAAAAAAGTGGAATGTTCAGTACCTTCAGTATCTTCTATAACTGGGTTTCAAACTGCATTGACAAGCAACAAATTATTTATGCTTTATTTTTTGGTAATAGTGGCATATATAGCGGCTTGTGTTTTGTTGCGAGCCAGTTTATTTACCCCTGCGTTCTTTTGTCATGTTCATCCCTGCTGTAACAAAGTCGATAGGCTGAGCGTTTTACACAGACCAGCATTCAGAAGAGCACAATCAGTAGCTATCAGTATATTTCTACATGTACTGCACCGGTGCTCACATCTACCTGCAACATCTATCTGATAACTAGAACCAAAGTATGACTAGAAGATGATGGACAAATGCATCATACTAGAATGTCAATATACATGTGTCAAGTGCCTATACATGGATAAGTGGTGCATAATTCATAACTGAACTTCCACCATGTCTTCAAAAGGTGTGGAGAAGAAAAGAAAGAAATTCTTAGCTGTAAGTGAACAGGACCACCGTCTGATCCCAGTGTGAAAAACAACAAACATGTCTGATTTCACATACAATGAAGTTAAGTCATGGTTTGGTAGCACAGCAGGTGAAAATAAGAGTAATACACAGACTCTTGTAGTTTTATCTTTCTGAGGACCATTTTGAGCATAGACCTTATGTGAAGTTAGGAGATTTTGGCCAGTCCTCACTTTTTCAATGGGCTGTTTGTGGGTAAAGACTTATTTTTTAGGGTTAGAATTAGGTTTAGGTTAGGATTAGGGTTAGGTATTTAGTTCTGATGGTTAAGGTTAGGGTAAGGGGTAAGGGAATGCATTATGCTGATGAGTGTCCTCACTAAGATAGAAGTACAAAAATGTTTGTGTGTGTGTGTGTGTG